AGGAAGCGCGCGGCAAGAGGAGGGAGGCAGCAGAAGCATGGAGGGGGGCGAGAGGAAGCGCGCGCGGCAAGAGGAGGGCGCGACGAGGCGGGAGAGAGAGGGAACGAGCCCGCGCCCAGGACAACTGTTCGCGCGAGTCGGTGCACAGGTGGCGCAGAGGGCGCATGCAAGCGATCGCAGAAACAATGTCAAGGTGGCATATAAATATCAACGCCAACTCCACAAGAGACTGGAATCGTGCAAATTCTGGTACTGTGCGAAATGCTCGCGTGCATACGGGAGGAATTCCCGATACCGCATCGGAGACGCATCTGGGCGATCCTGACGAATGGCTCCCCGGAGCAGGTTTCTACTTCTGCTTTCCTCGCGTGTCCCAGCGGAGCCACCAGACCAAAACTTGAGGAGAGGTTCGTTGCAGACTGCTCAGTGGCATCCAGGCTGGCTCAGCCTCATGGTTTCGCTTGTGCATCTGGAGACGACGTCGCGCCGACGCATGACTTTCTCCTCGTGCCTACCCTGCTTCCCGCTCTGACCACCACCCCGTTCATCATGGCGCCTTGGGCATGGTGAGAGGCTTGCAGACCCTTGGCTGTTCTTGTCGAGTTCAGGAGGCTGTTCTGTAGATGTGCAGGCCAGGTGATTGACCCTGCCCAGGCTTTTCGCAGTGCTGTTCTGCCAGGGCGACGCGTGAAGCGGCGTCACGGCAATTTCTAGGTACCCACTGACTTGCCAAACCCCATCAGTGCCCCACCCTACAGTCGGGGCCTTGACCTAAGGAACCCAAAATAAGGAACGAGGCCCCTTTTTTCCCATAAGTCAAACTTCGATTCCCGATCGAAAACATAAGGAACACCTGAGGCAAGCTGCGAAACACTTAAGGCACGCGGAGCCCCTCCCCAGCGAAAAGGGTTCCTTCTTCAGGGCCCCGACTGTATGCTCCTAAGAGGCCGCGCGGTCACCCCCCGCCGGGCTCCGCCAGGCAACCCGCGTCAGCGGCCGGCAGGAGGCCTGGAGAGCCCCATAAGACACCTCCAGTGCGGCCCAGAGATGGCCCGAAAGCGCTCCGTGCTGCCTCGAGGGGGCTCCAAGACAGCCTCCACAGACAGAGTCCGCCAAAAGTGTGCCCTGGTGGCGGTTACGGGCGCGACTTCGGTGGCGGTTTTCCACGTGCGATCCAGCATGTGTTCCTGGATGCGGCGCCCGCGTGTGCGGTTGCGTGTGCTGTGGCGTGCGCGGCGCCCGCGTTCGCCCAAATCCCCAGTTGTGGTCGCGGGTGCCAGTGCGGCTGCGGCCCCAAATCGGTTCCCCATCTGCGGTGCGGGTGCGGGTGTGCGGGATTGTGGATGTGCGGGTGCGGCGGTCCTTGCGGGTGGGGGCGCCCGCGCTGCCCGCAGTGTGTTCCTCGGCTGCGGCCGCGGGTGCGGTGGCGGGCGCCCGCGAAGGCGCCCGGCTCACGGCGTGCTTCGCGGTGGCGGCTGCGCCCGCGCGGCGGCCCAGAACGTGTTGCAGGCTGCGGCTCTGGGCGCCCGCGGCGTCCGCGGCGTCCGCGCGAGGCCCAGAATGTGCTCCCCGAGCCGTCCGTCGACTTCAGAGCCAGTCAGTCACCCAATCAGGCCGACAGCTCACTCTGGCGGGCACGGGGTGCCACCCAGCTCCGGCACCGCAGGGAACCACCCGCGGGACACGCATGCAGCCGCTCGGTGACCCTCCTCTCTCCTCCCTGCTGCTCCGCCGTACCTGCCCTCGTTCTCCTCCTAGGCATCCTGCTGCGCCTGCCTGCTCCTCCTGCCCCTCCTGCTCTTCTTCCTCCCTCTCCTCGTCTTCCTCCTCTTCTTCCTCCCCTCCATATCACTGCATGTTCCTGCTGCGCTGCTGCTGAGCCCCCTCCTCCTACTGCTCCTCCTGCTCTCTATTTTTCGGTCGTCGTCCTTCCTCTTCCTCCTCTTCCTCTCCTTCCTCCCCCTTTCTCTTCCCTCCCTCATTGCTCGCCACTCCGCGTCCTCCCCACTTCCTTGCACCCCCTGAACTTCCACCCCTCCTCCTGCTCGTCCTCTTCCTGCCATTCGACCCGAGTCTGGTATCAGTGCGAAAATCGTGTTGGAAGGACTGGTCGACCGATTCGTAATCTCGAATTTCTTTGCCATGCGCCTCCAAGTAACAGGAGGATTGGGAAAGGACCTGGAAGTTTCGATAGCCACGCTCGGGTCGTATGTTTTGTTTTCTTCTGTCGTGTGTAACGTCGTCTTTTAAACCTGAATGCAGGGCAGAAGTTATTTAAGCACGTCAGCTGGAGCCGTGCTCCTTGTTCCACACAGCGGTGGAAGCAGTTCAGTGGCATCGGGGAGGACTCGCACGAGCCAGAGGAGAAAAGGAACACTTGCCTTCACCTCGCCTTGTGCAGAAGCAGCTAGTAACCGCAGCGAGGGGGAATATTGTACACTGCCGTCAAGACCAAGAGCGCTACGTTCTCTCTCGTGCCTAGAAGACTGGAAAAAAAACGCTGACGCGCGAGTGCGGAGTCCGTCCGACTCTAATAAGGCTGCGGGTTGCGCATAGACAGGTGGAACAGGCCCCCCAAGTAGTCCCAGTTAGCCTCAACAGGCACCCACCGAGTATTAGGTCAGGCCTGTCCCCCTACAGGGGGATTTTAGACGAAAAAAAACATCTAAAAATGCCACCAAAAGAATCCAAACTGGTCAAATATCATTTCCAGACTATTTTTTGACAATGTTTGAAGTTTCCTCCTGTACATGGACAGGCCCGACTTAACCCGAGTAGCCCGGGGCTGCCTCAGCACCTCAACCCTTACACGCGGAGGGCCCCAGGGTCGCCGCCGGAGGCGGCGCCAGAGTGTCGAGACCGCTCAAGGCTACTCGGCGGGCATGTTAAGGGCAGCCCAAAGACTGCAGTCAGACCAGGGCTGAACCTAAAGGGTGTTCTTCGTTTTCGTTTTGTGTTCGTTTTCCTTCGTTTTTGTCTCGAGTCCGCCTTTACCGCAAAACGAAATCGGAACGAAAACTGCTCACGAAATCGCCGAAAACACAGTTTAGGTCCAGCCCTGAGTCAGACCTAGGCCAGAAGAGCACCCCTCAAGAGCATGAGACCCTGCGTCGGCCAAAGCACACAGAGCATTCAAGGGTATCCTCCCCCAGAATGCACGAGCACGTCCAACCAGCACGAAGAACATCCAAGAGTACCCTCCCCAAGCCGACCTCGATCTCACGCCTCGGTCCGACTGTACTCGGGGGAGGGGGGGGGGCTGTCTTAGAGGAGCAAAAGAATGGCACAAACATCAATGTGTGACGGTCCGCGCAGATTTCTCGGATCTGCGCCGGCACCCCCTCCCTGCGGGGATGGACAGGCCCCCCTTCCAGTAAAACGTGGTTCAGTGAAAAAACGACCCGAGGCCCAAACCTGGCGGGCGCCAGGCCTGGAAAAGAACGGCCACGGCGCCCTCTCGAGAACCGAAAACGGACGATTCTCGGGAGCGGCCAAGAGGGGGGTGTCCAAGAGGGGGGGGTGCAAATCATGGCCGGCGGCATGTGCGCGGCCCAGCGGGGGGGCCAGGGACGCAATAAAATAAGAAGAGGCGCCATGAAATCTGTGGAAATATCATGACCCCCGCCATGATATCCACCCCCCCTAGTCATCACCTCCATCTTTTCCGCCCCCGAGATTCACTAATCGACGTGTCACTGTTGGGAGGTCTGTCCACCCCCGATCCCTGGCGCCCCTGGCGCGCGAAGCCGCGGCCGGGGGCGGCGCGGAAGCCGCGGCCAGGGGCGCCCGGGCGCCGGTCCAAGGTGAAACCGCGCGGAGCGTCGAAAGCTCATGCTTGTAGCGTTTTGTTCTCCTTCTTCCTCCTCCTCCTCCTCCTCCTCCTCCTCCTCCTCCTCCTCCTCCTTCCCCTCCTCCTCCTCCTCCTCCCCTCCTCCTCCTCTTCCTCTCCTCCCTCCTCCTCCTCCTCCTCCTCCTCCTCCTCCTCCTCCTCCTCCTCCTCCTCCTCTGAGGGGAAACAAACCTACCTCGCTTTTGACCACGCTCGCTTCCAAGAGATACCAGGCGATGCCAAACTGCGGCCTGCACTGGTCGGGCCGCTGGACTAGGAGGCGCGTGGTATGACTCGGTTTTGCCTGGAAGCGAAAGCGGGGTGTGTAATTCACGCTCTGATCTTCTTTTTCTTCTTCTTCTTCTTCTTCTTCGATGTCTGCGCGCAGCCCGAACCAACCTCGATCTCATGCCTGGGTCTGGCTGCACTGGGGGGGTGAGTGTCGTTGAACCGGTCCCCATCCCCAGCGGCGTGGCCTGGGCCCCACGGTCCGATGTACCCCCCTAGATGGGGATGCAGGTCGTTCCCTTCGGATTTCGAGGGATGCATCCCCAACTGGGGTGCCAATTTGGTGGCGGTCTCGAAGGGGACGGGGATGGGATTGGGGATTGGTGAAACGATAGCGAGGGGGGGCGGGCTGCCTGCGCGCAGCCCGAAGTAAAACAGGGCTAGGATCGGGATAAATCGCTCCAGAGCGTTCCGGAGCGCTCCCAGAGCGTTCCGGAACGCTCTGGAGCGGCCGCGGCGCCCAATACATCCTCCAAACCCCCGATTCTCAGAGATTTCGAGTTACCCCGATCCGATTTTGTCTCGATCTTCGCGTCGTTTTAGATAGCGAGGGGGGGGCGGGCTGCCTGCGCGCAGCCCGAAGCCTCACCCCTCGGAGCCGCGCCAGAAGCCACCGCGCGGCGCGGCGCGGGGCCCGCCGGGGCGCGGCCGGCGAGGCGGCGGCCCGGGCGCAGCGGCTCCCGGGCGGCCCGCGGGGCGGCATCCACGGAGGGCCGGGAGCGCCCGGGGGGCCCAAAGAGCCAACGGTGCGGGCAGGATTCATGTCCATATCCAGTGCCTCGTGGACTTTTTTGGAAGCGGCGCCACAAGGCCGAGGCGCACTGGATATGGATAAAAATCGAGCCTCTAGGGGGTAAATTTGTCCATATCCAGTGCGCCTCGGGTTTCTTGGGAAGGGAGCCCGAAACTCCATACTGCAGTGGATATAGACATAAGTATTGCCCGCAAACGGTGGGCATTAGAAGTAAAGACGACGGCCGTTCGTCGTTTTCGGTCTCTGGGGGTCTTGAGCCGTCTTCGGGCGACCTTGCAGGCATCCGGCGCCGTCTGCGAGCCATCCGAGGGCACCTTGGGCTCCTCTGACTCCATTGTCTTCGTCGTCGCTGCCTGCAGGGTCGGCGGCATCGGCATCGGCCGTAAGGCCTTCGCAAGAAAGACAACGGGCTTTCGTCGTTTTCGGTCTCTGGGGGTCCTCGCCAGGCCCCGGGAGCGTCAGATATGATGACTGCGGGATGACAAACCGGCCCTGGGGCACTGGTCGAAAGTTTTTCAGGGACGCCGTACGTATCAACAAAAATCAAGACCTCAGATCTCTGGGGAGAGGGGCGGCCAAGAGGGGGGTTTGCAAGTCATGGCAAGAGGCATGTGCGCAGCTCATTGGTAGGCTAGGGGGCGCAGGTCATGGCCCGAGGCACGTGCGCGGGGTGGCTGGGGGGCGCATTCAGGGAAAGAGGGGGGCCATGTAATCGCAAAGAGACTTCGTGGCCCCGGCCATGATATGTCGCCGCGCCGATTGTCATCCACGCGCCCCAGTGGACGACGCCGACGCCGCCACGGTTAACCCACGGCAAGCCCGGAGCCCCAAGTAGACGAAGCCGGCACCGCGACAAACCCACGGCAAACCCACGGCAAACCCACGGCGCCCGAGGCGGCGTTTGCCCTGTTGCCCGCGGCGCCCTCCCAAGACGGAAAGCTGCGCGTCGGAAGAAGCGGCGCGGCGACAGATCCCCCCCCTCCCCCAGTTTTCACCGCGCTCTTGGCCGCACCCGAGAGAGGGCCGCTGCCGTGAAGCGCAGGCAGCCCGGGCCGCGGCCGCGAGGGGCGCGCGGGGCGAGCTGCGAGAGAAAAGCTCTGCTCGCGCCTGAGCTCGCTCTGCGCCGAGAGCCTCGCGCCGCCGTGCCGCCCCCATGGGGAGAAGCGAGGCGGACGAGGAGGACGAGGACGAGGAGGACGAGGGGGTCCGGCACCATCGAAGCGCTGGCCATCGCTCGGACGTCCATTCCCTGTGTTTTTTTCGGTTTCGTGCGTGGTTTTTTCGCCAATTGATCAAGGATGCTCCTCGATGGTCCTCGCCGAAGGAAAAATGCACACGTCCGAGCGATGCCAAGAGCGGGTACGGATCGGGTCGGACGAAGCGGGGGGGCCCCGAGACCCCGGCGATGCAATCTTTCACGGCCAGCGTTCTCGCCAGGTGTCGGGCCTCCAGGCCCTCACGGATCGATGCGGCGCGGAAGAATGGCGCAGGAAGCTGGGGTCCAGGGCCCTGGCGGTGATTGTTTTGGGACGTTGCCACTTTTCTGAAGGCGGCCAGGGACGCACAAATACAAAGACACAAGCGCCAGGACTCCACATATCTGCCATATGTTCTGGATGTTCGTCTTCCCCTCCACTTCACACCTTTTCCATACTTTCCTGGGCATAGGTGATTATTCGTGTCATTGACTTTCCCCTCCTGATTTTCTGCGATGAGAAGGGGCGAACAGGGGCGTCTGAGGTCGGAGCTGGAGCGGGAACTCGAGGTGGCATGGGACGGTCTGGGGCTACCTTTCAGTCTGTCGTGGAGCCCAGGTCTAATCGCGCGGGCTCTATGACGAGGGCATCATCCACGAGATCCCCTTGATGAGGGTCTCCAACTGGTAGATGACGAGATGGATGTCGAGACTCTTAGCCTGGCCTCTCAAGCGCAAGCAACCGTCGAGGAACTCTTCGATCCCTACCTCTCCATTGCCGTTGCGGTCCAGCAGCTTGAACAACGTGTGCGCCTTCCGAATGTCCAGATCCAGCGTCTGGAAGTACGCCTTCACACGATCATCCTCCAAGTGATTCTTGAACTCCCTCCAGGACAGATAGCCCGAGTGGTCGGCATCCGCTTGCTTGAAGAACGTTTTGATGTCGGAAGCATAGCCCCTGAGAGATGCGATCTGGTCGTCGACCATCATGTCGCGGTCCATGGAGGCCACATCAGCCGTGACGTCGACGACCGTGCCGATGACAACGTTGAGAACCAAGAAGGACATGAAGTATCCACCGCCGTGCCTGCACGACGTGGGCGTGTTAGAAAAGCACGTGCTGCCTGGCATGGGTGAAGGGGCCCGGCCCTGAGACCCACAAATAAATAGACACAAATTACAGGATTCCCTATATTTTCCAATATTTTCTAGGTTTCAGTCTTCCCCCCCCCCACTTCCCATATTTTCCCATATTTTCGGAGGAATGGACGATGGATTGTGTCTAAGTGTTTTTTTTCCTCCCGAATGGGTCTTGGGAGCGTTGGAAGCCTCCCGCTCTTCCCGCAAATGTTCTCCGTGCAGCTTCCCCCCCCCCGTCCCGAGGCCTCCTGGGCGGCCCGACGCCTCTAAGGGGGCCCCTTGGGACACGCGAGTCGATAGACACACATCCTAAGGTCCCCCGCATGTTCCGTATTCTTTGGATGTTCGTCTTCCCCCTCCCCTCGCCATGCTTTCCCACATTTTCCTGGGAATCGACGATTCGTTCTGTCTGTGATTCTGCCCCTCCTGAGCCTCTCTGGCGCGCGCCTCCCGAGGCTGGCACGGCCGAGAACATGCAAGAATGCCACCAACATGACCCAGCGAGTCAGTACGCACCCAACAGCTCCCACGGAAACGCCATTTAGATCCCAAGTGGGCGACGATCAAAACGCGAGATATCATAGCGATTTTTACGCGGTGGCTTACGCGGGATGCCCAGCGGGGCCCGCTACGCTCCAAGCGAGGGAGCTTACGTGCTAGCTTACGCGAGCAGCTTACGCGAGCAGCTTACTCGCCGATGCCGGCGCAAACGACACCGTTTTTGGGGGGCCCCAGGCGCCCCAAAGACACCTTCCAGGAGGCCCTCGGGAGACCAATCACAGTGATTTAGGGGGGGCAACCGATCGAGACCACGCATCTCCACACAAGTCGGCAGCATCCGCTGTACGAATCTACACGTCGCTGTCGAACCGGGAACGCCGTCTGTTGCAACCCCCTTGTTTCTTCAACGAGGTTGTCCCAACCATCCTGTGACGAATTGGATGCTCGCCTTGGATCCGCAGCGTCCCGCGTTCTTCCCACTCCCGCCATCCCCTCCCTTGCAGTTCCCTTCCCTGCCTATGCCATCCGCATGTCTCTGTTTCTGCACGCACACACACGCCTCACATTTCTTCCCTCAGCCATCCTGTGGCATTGGGTCCTCATCTGAGAAGACAATGCTCAACGTCTCCACCTCCTCTCCTCCTCCCCCTCTTCCCTCCTAGAACCCCATCATCTGCCCTGCGCCTGTCCAACGGAAGCCCTGGTGGCCGCGGCCGCACGCGTCCGCGGCACCCAGTGCCGCGCTTCGTGGCCCCAGAGGAGGCCCCACCGAAGGCCCTGGTGACCGCGGCCGCATGCGCCCGCGGCAGCCCATACAGCGCTTCGTGGCCCTATATGGAGCTCCACCAAACGCTCCAGTGGCCGCAGCCGCGTGCGTCCGCGCCATCCAGTACAGCGCGTCATGACCCCATACGGACCTCCACCAAAGGCCTCAATGGCCGCGGCCGCATGCGTCCGCGCCTCCCAGTACAAACGTGCACGCTTCGTGGCGCCATGGGGAGCCCAACCGAAATCCCCAGTGACCGTGGCCACATGCAACGGCCGCATGCGACCCTCCTCCCTCACACTGTACAGCGCCCAGTGGCTCCATCGGGAACTCCACCGAAGGCGGCGCCAATGACCGTGGCCGCATGCGTCTGATCCACCCAGGGCAGCGCTTCGTCGCCCCATGGGTTCATGAGGAGCTCCGCCGAAGGGTCCATGGGCCGCGCCGCATGCGCCCCCCCGACCAATATAGCATATAGCGTTCCGTGGCCCCACAGGGAACTCCACCGAAGACCCCAGTGGCCGCGGCCGCGTCCGCGTCACCCGTCACAGGTCATCCTCACGCGCTTCGTGGCCCATAGGGAGCTCCACCGAAACCAGTACCCCACAACGCAGTACTCACAACTGCATGTGGCTGGGCTTTTCGCCCGTATTTTATACCAGTCCAAGGGACCCCCCTGGCAAGACAAAGGACGCAAAACAACGAAAGGACGATGCGACAAAGAACAACAAACAACAACAAACACTACAAAGCAACAACACAAACAACAACAAACGACAACAACAGCAACAGCAACAGCAACAGCAACAGCAACAGCAACAGCAACAGCAACAGCAACAACAACAACAACAACAACAACAATTACTAGCACGTGGGGACACACCGTTCTCACCAGTGCCAGGGTTTTCATAGGAGGCGGGCAATACCCCCACTTTGTGGGGGGGCCGGTTCAAGCTCTACCAAATTTCCAAACGACTCTTCGCCACCACCCACACCCAGCTTCCCGCCCTATGACGTTCGGACACTTCACTTCGTGGCATGCGGACGACCGTGGCTACTATTCAGGGCCCCGCGGCCGACGACGACGGCGTGCGCGCGCGAAGAAAAAACGAATGTGTCCCGCATGGTATTATTTGACAGGGATGATGGCCCTGGCAGGTGCGCAACCGTTGTTGCAGAAGTTCGAAAAAGTTGCTCGCAAAAGCCCGTTTGACAGAAATGTTTAAAAAGTGTTGGGTTTCCTACGAATCCGCAAGAGCGCGCGGGATGAAATTTTGACAATTTTTGTTTGAAAAACCATTGGTTTTTTGATGTTTTTATGTTAAAATCGCTACGAAAACTAAGGTTTTGGAAGGATTTCGTCTTGCGCGCGCGAATGTCCACTTTACCTTATTTTTTGCAAGGGATTCTTGAAGTTTGGTTATGTTAGAACAAGAAATGTCCACTTTAGCTTATTTTTTTGCAAGGGAAAACCGACGTAACAACACAACCGGATCCGGACCAACCCGTTTTGCCTGAGACTTCCTCACGGATATGATGAAAATGAGGCTGCGGCCTAGGCGCGGCGGGGGGGTCGTGCACCAGGGGCCCCAACAATAATTATTCTTTAGAAGTAATAATGTTCAACAACAACAACAACAACAACAACACCACCAACAACAACAACAACAAAGAACGAAAGCCCGATGGGGGGTGAGGGAGGCGGGGGGGGAACGGCCCGCCCGTTGGGCGGCCCGCACGGCGCAGCGGCGGCCACGAGGCCTCAGCTCAGCAAGCCCCAGCTTCGCAAGGCGCGCGCTTGCTCCGCGCGCCGAGACCACCCTCGCCGCGCGACCACCGCGCGCCGAGGCCTCAGAAGGCGTTCGCGGCCTCGCGAACGGCCAGCAGCCCAGCGGGCCCCAACGCGGCCAGATCGACCGTCGCCGCCTCGAGCGTGGGCACCGCCCGTCGGGCCTCAAGGAACGCCCGCCGCGCCCCCGCCCGCGCTCCCAGCGCGTCCGCCCTGGCACGAGTGCGAGAAGCTGGCCAAGCCAGCCTCGGCGCAGCAAAAAAACGTTGCGGCCGCGTCTGGGGCGCCACCGCCGGCAGCCGGAGTCCGGAGCGCCGTCGCTGCTGGGCGCGCCAGCTGCTAGCCGCCGCGCTAGCCGCCGCGCTGGCCGCCGCGCCGCAAGCAACAGGAGCGCGGCCGCAGCCGAGCGCCCCCTCGGGCAGTGCCGCGCCCGCACGCGCCGCGCCCGCACGCGCCGCGCCTCCCGCGGCAACGCCGGGACCTGCGGGTCGCATCCGCCGCCGCCTCCGCGCCGCGCGCTGGCAGCCCGAACCCCCGTCGCTGCTGGCGCCCCCGCATCCGCCTGGTCTGCGGCTGCGCCGCCGCTCGCCCGCGGCGGCGTGGGCACCTCGAGGCCGCCGTCGACCGCGTGGTCGGCGTCCGCTCAGGGGCGCGCAGCCGGCCCTCGCCGCCGCCAGCGGCGTGGCCGCCCGCTCGAGGAGCCGAGCGGATTCGTCCAGCGCCGTACACTCCTGCTCGGTGGCGTCGTCGTCGAGCCACACTCTCGCTGGAGGGGCTGGTTCGTCAGCGCCGTCAGCGCCGCAGCGGAGGCTCACTGGCGCTGGGCCTTGGCATCCTCCATCCCGCGACAGCGGCTGAGGAGCTGGGCCTCCGTGAAGCTGGTCACCACGAAGCGATCCCGCCCCTGGAGCCCTGCCTGCTGCAGCGCCAAAATTACCAGCTCCGCGCTCGGGCTGGCTGCCCCAGACGCATCCGGCGGCGCTGTCGCAGCAATCCTCGCTGCTGCCGGTGCGGTCGCCTGCCGTTCGCAGCTGCCGGAGCGGACGGTGCGCCCAGCTCCCCGCCCGTGTCGTGCGCGCCCGCGAGCAATGCCGCAGGCCGCGGCGTCCGCGGGTTCCGCGGAGCACCCTCTGGCGGGCCTGCGGCCAGGGGGGCAGCCCCTGCCGAGCCCTCTGGCGCTGCCGCCGCTGCCTCCGCCTCCCGCGCCTCCTCGTCCGCGTTCTCCGTGATCACGCAGCTGCATCTGCGGGCGCCGTCAGTCGCCGCCGCTGGGCCCGGAGGCCCGCTGCCGGCAGAGGGGCAGCTGGAGAGCACCGGCGGCCAGCGAGGCGGGCGAGAAGACCGCCTGCGGGTCGCGGCACCTGCTCGCTCCGCTTTCCCGTCGGAAGCGCCCCGCCAGGGAGCCCTGCGCGCCGCACTGCGGCTGTGGCTGCGGCTGCGGCGGCGCCCGTGGCGGCGGCTCCGGCTGCCACCCGCTGAGGCCGTCGTCGGACGGCCGTGCGGCCGAGCACCTGTCGCCTCCGAGGCCGGTGCGCCCCCCTTGCCGTGCACCTGGCTGCCCCAGGCCGCAACTGCCGCCGCCTGGCCTGTGGTGCAGCCGCGCCTGCGCCTGCGTTGCAGCCACACTCCCCGGGTGCCAGGGAGTTGCCGAATTGGACGCCCATGACCTGCCACCCCCAGCCGGCCGGCAGACACGGGAGGCAGACCCACATCCGCTCACCATGCGCCGTCGGCGCCCCCCGTCCGTGACGCCCCGCCTGCGCCGCGCGCGCTAGGGCGGCTCCAGCCCGCCCCCAGGCTGCGTCCAAGTGCCAGGCCCCAGAGCAAGGGCCTGGGACGACGACGACGACGACGACGACGACGACGACGACGACGACGACGACGACGACGGCGACGACGGCGACGACGACGACGACGACGTCGACCCTCCACCACGCCACGCCCAGAGGGCCATGACCACCGGTGGGGGGCGTGCCTCGCGAGGCTCCGGGGCGTTACAGCGGGGGGGGTGATCCCATTAGCATTTTATGTAAGTCGGGCCTGTCCCCAGGAGAATTTTGGAAGAACAATAAAACAAGTTGTAAAACACATACCCTAGAACACTCGAGAATGGTCAAAAGATCGTCCCCAGTTTTGGAAGACTCCTCCTGTAGAGGGACAGGCCCGACTGAACATTAGCATTGGAGGGGGGAGGGGGAAGCCCTGGACCATGTACTCAGGGTTTTCCAAGTCTCGGGGCACGACGTGTCGCACGTTACGGCTTCCTCTGCGCCCACGGACCGCTGGGCTGGCACGGCGGCGGGACTCTTGCCGCAGGCAGCTGGACACGTAGGCGATGAAGAGGATGCCGTACACTGGGCCGATCCTGAACAAAGAGGTGAAGACCTCTCCCCAATCCCGACCGCCTGTGATGCTCTCGAAAAGGATTAAGAGCGCCCGGTCGATGGTGCTCCAACCGCACTTCATGTAATCAATATGATCAGACGGGGATTCCCAGAATTGCTGCTCCTCAAGACTGAGATCACCTCCACTTCCGTCCAGATTCGACTCGAAGTACGTGATGGTACCGTGCATAAAGATCATAGCGAAGATGTACTTGAAGAAGAGGAGCACCACCAATACCCAGACCAGCGCGTCCAACGACTTAAATATTGAGAAAATCATGACTCGTAAGGTCTGGCATGCCTTCAAGACCCGCGTGATGCGAAAGACCCGCATGATGCGAAAGAGCCGGATGTTCCGGGCGGGCGTCAGGTTCGGCGTATCGGCGCCGGACGCGAACTCGAACATGAGCTGCAGAAGAGCTGAGAGCACCAGGATTGTGTCCAGGAGGTTCCACTGCCAATCGCCGCCAAAGAAGACGTAGACGTCCTCCGCCAGCACCTTGCAAAGCAACTCGATCGTGAAGAACACCAGGAAGCCTAGCTCAACGTACTCTGGCCACTTCTTCATCGCAGTCCCGCTCTGCACCGCGTCCATCTCGAGCTGCATGCTGATGCCGATGAACAAGGAATTGGCCATGATCGCGGCATACGACACCACAGAAAAAGGCCGGCTCCTCACAATCTTGTACGCTCTGCGTTTCTTCCGCGACTGCCCTCCGCTCTCGAAGTAGCGATTCATGGCCTTGGAGAACGAGCTCTGCCCGTCCGCGAACGGGTTCCACACGATATCGCCAGAGTCCTTGCGCTCTGGGACCATGTAGGGGTCGTCGAACGTGTCGTCGGACTGTGACTCGGACGTCCTGCTCGGGGTGGTCGTACGGGGTGGCAGCAAAGTTTGGATTGCCGCATCGCATGCAGCTGGTTGGCCAGGGGGTGTCGGGACGCTGCGAGCGACCGTGTGTCGAGGAGAGCGCCTGGAGGCGGAGCCTAAACCGTTTGCATGCAGCAACCTGTCCCTGACCCGCCTTCCCTGACATCCGCCGACGTGTTCTTTTTTCATC